GACACTTGATAATTATAAAGTATACTTCTAAATTAAACATGTTACAAGAAGAAAGCATGAAAGATTTTAAAATTTCATGGTGAACTTTCGAAAACCAACACATAACATTAAGGAAAACATAAGAAATTTTAAAGATGGATGGTGAAATTTGAAGAATAACATGTGATATGTAAGATATATGAGAGGACTTCAAAGACTAGATGGAAAATTTATAACATTGCAAGTTAAGTGTTAAACTTTCCTTTTGAAAATTCTATTGAATTCCTTGTCTTGCTTTAGATGTTTCTTGCTTTGTGAATTCTCCTTGCTTAATGCATTGATCTCCACGGTTTGGTGAAGGGAAGAAGTGAGGGGTAAGATTAGGTTTATTTTATTTTGGGATCTGCAAGTTTTGTTCATAAAAATTATAGTTGTATGTTATATTATTTGTTTAGCAAATCATCAAAACGTATTATTTCAATTTTAAAGTTCAAATATTTGACGCTTATAATTGATTTATTTTGTTCATCTTATATTATAAAAAGAGTCACAAGATGTTTTGAATGTGATGCATTTAGTATCAACGACCAGTTATCTTCTTAAAATTTATGAAAAACAATATCATACATTTATTTTATATGGAAAAAATATTTTGTAAAAAACGAGATATACATACTTCATATATGAATACTCATTAGTCGGGAGGCAGAATATATATTGTCTAAAAAAAGATACTATTATAATAAATGATCATTATAAAGTTTATATTTTTATAGTCACGTTAGATGTACACCTAAAAGAGAAGAATAATATGTTTAAAGAACACATTAACGAATTATTAATTCTTAATTATGCATTAGATCTTCCAAATAGACATCGGTCATTCAAAAATGATAATATTTGTTATATTGTAAATAAATTTTATCATGTAGATTTCACATATACAAAGAAGATACATTTAAAAATTCAATTAGAACATTTTAGGATCTCTCTATATTCTTTTGATTCATGTCAAATGTTGGTCAAGATAATGCATGTTAAATGTTGGTTAAAACATAAAATCAATTATATATCCTCTTATTGATCATTTGATTAGGCTAATTTTTAAATTATCAATTTTGACAATAACAACTTAACATGCATTTTGTAATTATGAAGATTGCTAAGACAAAATTACAAAATTAAATAGAAGATACATTTATTGAAAATGATATTTCAAGAGTTTCGATGTGGGATTAATTTTTGATGTTTCAATGTAATGAAGAAACATTTGACATAATATAAGATGTGTAATAATAATGATTATATTAAAAGTGATAATTTTTTGCTTTATGAGTTATTATTAGCTGATTTTCATTTTATCTTATTTAGTTATTTATTTTTGAAACATAAAATTTTAATTTTGATTTATTTTAGTTGAGTTTTTTTTTTTTTCCCCTCCTCTTCTTAAATTCAAGTTCTACACCTAGGTGTTAGATATGTAAATACATAAAAGTTGGGTGTTATATATGTAAATCTTCCTTAAGAATATATTTGGCAGAAGCTCTCAGTGGGGTCATTTCAGTAAATTATATAAGTTACTGAAAATTCGAATTTTTTTTTTTTTTGAAGAAATTATTGTTATTATATTTTTTTTTCTTGGAACATTTACATACATACCACTCAATTATTAAGCGTGTACATATCTAAGACTGAAAGTTCAATGGTTCAATCACTACATGCAAATCATCTTACTATGCGTGGAGAAGGATGTATTTTACTTTTTAATAATTAAAATAATGATATTATGAAAAATTTAGGTTGTATAAATGTAAAAAAGCAAATTTCCAAGATAAATTGGTGGTATGTTTGTAAATACCCTTTTTTTTATAATAATTATTTAGGAAGTTTGATTATAAATGTAGGATCCTAATTTGTTCTTTGTGAACATGTCCTGAGAGTTAGAACTGAGTGAAGGACAAAAGTAAGAGAGAGTAGAATAAGTCTGGATTTTTATAGAGAGAATTGAGGGAGAAAACAAGACCCCTTATTTGTATTTTTAAAGACGTGTTTTATGTAATTACAGAAAGAAGGGATCAGTTATGGAAACTGTTCTTAATGTCATTAGTGTTCTAATTGATTGTATATATTTTATGTCATATTTGCATTACAATTTGAATTTCAACATTGATGGTAATTGACTTGTTGGCTGGCTTAAAGTTGACCGACTGAAGTGACCGGTCGAGTGGTATCTATGTCTTTTGAAGTATGCGTTAGTTGGTTGGGAGGGTCGGGCACATGACGATCTTGCTTGATTTCTTTTGGCTCGGTCGACCAAAGCGGTCGATTGTGAAGTGGTCGTTCGGTGCAAACACGGGGTCGGTCGGTCGACTGATCGGTTGGCTTTTTTGGGTTGAGCGAGTCGTGACTCATTTTCTATTTGGCTTGAGTCTTACGAAGCTTGAGTCTCGCCTACCTGGTTGTTTCGTCGCCTCGACCGGATTTCCCAATCTTGCATAGTCTTAGGTGGATCTTGCCACAACTTATGTGGAGTATCCATCGAGACTCACTGCTGGGATGATTTAAGCCTCACTTTCGACGGGTCTTGTCGCTACCGAACGAGGACTATCTCCAGAGCTTGAATTATCTAGGGTTTGGACATGCGGCTTCATGCTCTACCATGAATCGTCGGTTGATTGCTTACCTTGAGAGGAGGCATTTTAATTTGGTCGTTCGTTCTCTTTAAGATTCGTGCTGGTATTTTTCTTTTATACAAAAAATATATATTTTTTAAATGAAAAATATTTAAAAAAAATCAAGATGTGAACTAATAGGACTAAATTTTGAGTGAATTTAATCCCAAACTCACATGATACATATTCTGAGGTCTTAAACCTAAGCCCTTTTAGTTGAAAGCCAAAGCCCCCAACCAATAGACTCCTGAGAGCAGCAACAAAAATTGTTATCTAAAAGTAATATTGAGAGCTACCAATAATAGGTATTTGATGTCATACTAATAGGGTAAGTCAGTCTAGTTAGCTTGAGCCCACGCTTTGAGTTTATCAAGCCAAGAGCTCAGGCTTGAGCTTGTCCAAGCTCGGCTCATTGGCTTATGGGCCTGCACAATTAGTCAGATTTCGATCATATTAATGCATTCTCTAGGGAGTTACCCGACACTTATTTCTCGCCATCAATCACTTTGATGCATCTCTAATCAACTCTCAAGAAAATTTTATTCTAGCTCGTGACAAGTTCAATCTAGCTCATGAGCATGTTTCTAATATCGTGAGTTGAGCTCAAACTCGTAATTTGACTTAAAGTCAAGGTTGTATTTAGATAAACGACTGAGTTAGGCATGTATGACTCAAGCTAAGCTAAACTCATTTACACCACTATTTTGTAATGTTTTTACAAAAAAAAAAATCATTATAAAAATAACTTTTTACAGCTAAATTTATTCTGTTATGGTAGTTATAAAAAATAGAATTTATAACATTCATATTTTTCCATATATCAAGAATGAACCAGCAAGGATCTCGAGGAGATCTAACAGTCCAAAAAGAAGGATGTGCAACAAATGAGAACCCACCGATAGGAGACCGTCTGAGCCAAGTATGAAGGCTAACCGAGTCAGCAAAAAGACAAGTAGAATAATTTGAGTATGAACCAATCGAACAAGAGGATAAATGAGCATTCCACCATCGGAAAGCAGAGTGAGGGCGACGTCCTACCTCTCTGAAGATCCAACCCTATGAAAGAATCCAATTTCTCTCCATCACCAGTCGTCTAACCAATGCCCCCGGGGTTCTTCATTAGGGACAAAGAATCGACAATACGATAAAGCCTCACAACCATCCTAAAAGACCCCTTCATCAATGAATGAGCTATCTATCGACTTATGTTAATTCACCCTTTACTTGATAGCCTAGTCTCATTTTGCCACAAACCATTGCACAATTCTCGTAGCAATCGAACGGCTCAGGATGATGGCCAGACAATCGAGGCATCACGTTATAAGAGCGTGTTCCAAGTCGACCATTCAATAACCGACAGCTCAGTCGGAGTCACATTATGACGAAGGATTCAATCGGCAGGCCAAGCTTATAGTCTCGAACTACCTATACTCTTCTCAATGGGCGCCCAACCGCAATATATCGACCTACCTATGTTTTACTTTAGCAGTAACACTCGTCACTCGGCCGATCGCCTTGTTCAACCGAATTATATATACGTACAGATTTCTATCACAAGAATTTAAGAATTATACTTTCACAAAGAACTCAAGGCACTTGAAATAAAAACATCCATCCCCCATAAACTAGTGCAAACTAAAATCATAACCCAACAATACCCATCTTCCTCTTCGGGGTCATTCCTCGGCCCCCACCCCCACCCCCACAAC